AGCTTTGATAGTCTCGGCTCATCTTCGACTTTAAAAAAGTGATGTATAAATTAAAATTTTGAAAAATTTTAATCAGCTGCCCAGTTATTGATTTGAATATAAAATTTTCCATTTCATGACAATATCACCTTTCATTTTAAATTTCTTATTTATCTCATATTTTAGAGCATATTTCAGTTAAATAAAATGCATTAATACTCTTTAATGTTTTTAAATATTTATATATATTATTATTTAATCCATTGATGGAAAAAAAAGAATATAATATAAGGAAATCTTTATGAGAATGAAATTTCTATAAATACTTCTTTGAATCAATACCTGATTTTATATTATTTAATAATTAAGAATTCGAGACTTCAATTTCTATTTGTTGTTGGAATTTTTTCGATATAAAAGAGAGGCATTTCAACCAAAAAAAAGCTCTCAAAAAGTGAAAGTAGAAAATAAGATAAGTCCAGTTATAAAAGATTAATATAAAAAAGAAGAATGTATTTATGATCTTTGGAGTCCAATTATTTAGTTTGTACAATAAAAATTAATAGTTTTTAGGTAAAAAACATCAATTTTGATTTTTTATTTTATCCACTCGATAGAAATATAAGATCCAAGATTCTTTACATTTATAACTTAATAATATTAACAAATTACTAATGGTTTTTATGATTACTCTATACGTTCTTTAAATATTTAAACATAAAACGTCTTATTTTCAAATAGCTGTGATACTAATCATATTTCATTTTTTAATCAAAATATAACAGCCATTTTAATAATTATATTGGGATTTTCTTTTATACGTTTCAATATACACTAATATTATACTTTCAATTCAATTGATTGTTCATTGAAAAAATAAAATATTATTAGTGCTCAAAATATGATTTTTAGAGGATTTATAGAACTTTTGATAAATTCATTTCATTTTACTTTAAAATTATATAAAAAAAAATTTGAAATAAATCTTTTTTTCTTTTTCCGATCGAACTTTTTCAAATAATTAAATTTTAAATAAATATTTGAGAATATTAGAGCAGAAATTTATTTTGTTGATTAATAAAAATTATATACTTCTTTATTATAAATCAAACAATGATTTTGCCTACTTTGTAAAAACAAAATAAAATATTTTAAAATATTTATTTTATATTTTTTGTTACATGCAAATATAATTGCTTTTTTAAATTCATAAATAATATCTAAGTATATTTATATCATAAACTAAATTTTTGATAATTCAATTTCCAAGTTATAAATAAAACTTATCTATTCTTCTCAAATTGAAAGAATATTCAATAAAAATTCTCTCAAATTGAAATGGCATTCAATCATGATCTTATCAAAAATGAAAGAGAATTCATTTTTCAAATGGGTGGTGCAACGATAAAAATACGTTACACGTTTTTTGAAAATTTATGAATATCTCTTTTTCTATTTAATATAATTAAATAAATTCAATATAGAACTCTTTATATTTTTAATTAAATAATTTTAAATGATAATTCATTGAGCTATTCAAACTTTTTTGGAAATCATTTAATGTGAGATAATTTTGGAAATTCTGAATAAGATTATTTTTTTCCTCATTCAATTTTAATATACATATATAGTTGCGCAGCATTAATTTTGTACTTCCGGACCTCATTTAACTCTTATAATATATATCATTTTATTTAAATTATAAATATAAAACAAAAGTATTTTTTTATCGTTGCACCACCCATTTTTTCAATATATCAAATATAGGTGTGCCAAAATTTTGTAAAGTGTCAAAATAAAGTACTCAAATCATTTTTTACGGTCAAATGCCACCATAATGATATATTATTAATGTTTTATCGCATATATACTATTTTTTAAATAATAAATCTTGATTTACCATACATTTTTGAGATATTTTTAATTATTTTTAGACAATTTTTTAAATGCATTTTTGGTCGGAAATAGGATTTTTCTATGATTATTTTGTCGCTGCTATTTATAAAAAGATAACTAAAAAACATGATGAAAGCCACTGAAGATGGCAAAGAATGCAAAGAATTTAAGAAAAAAATATGAATAATAAGCTAATACATCATTTTTGATGAACTAGCAGAAAAAATCGAAGTTTATGAAAATTTTATGCAAAATATCAGATAAAAATATGATATTATCCATAAACTTGCATATTATGAAGTATATTAATAATAAATATAAATAACATACATGATTTGAATTTCAAAAAGAAAATTATGAATTATGATATAATGCATAGGTCATAAAAGAAACCAAAATGGAAGAATTTAATATATTTTTCCCCAATTTCACCGAGTATGCTTAAAATAAGTAAAAAATTATCCGCCAAATATTCAATTGAAACTTTCTAAGAATAATTCAAATTTTAAAATTTTGAATTAAAGTTTACATTCAAAAAATTATCGGATGAAAAATATATAATATCTTAAAAATGTATGGTAAAAATTATTTAAAAATTATAAATATAAATATAATTAGAAATATAAAGGTTTATAATTAAAATTCATACCAATCCTCCGTAAAATTTAAATTTCTGACACTTTACAAAATTTTAGCACACCTATTATCAAATTTGAATATATCTACTTTTTGAATTGAAGATATTGAGTTAAAAATGATGATTTGAATGAAAACTAAAAACTGTATAGAAGTTTTCGTTTGCTCAAGAGGAAAAGTCTTAATATACATCATTTAAATCTTATATTATCATTTTCAAAAAAATTTATCGAGTAGAATTTTGGTTGACATGCCTCTTATAAAAGACATTAAACTTTTTTTATTTATTTATTTATTTCAGTTAACAGAAAACCAAAAAAAATCATTAACATAAATCCTTTGAAAAGGACATAAATAAAAAAATAGGCCATTTGATAATGATTATTTCAAGAAAATTATTTTTTTTTCTCTTATCTTTTTTCTTATGGCAAAAATGATATTTATATCGAAAGAGAGGAGGAGAGAGGGATTTTCAAAAGATAAGAGAAAAAAAAATTATTTCCTTAAAATTATCATTAAACCCAGTAATTTTTCATGTTTGCAAATATGATAAACAAAAGGTTACGATTTTACATTTAAAAATGGCTGACGAAAAAACTTTTTCACCTCTGTAAAGATTACTAAGTCAAATGCATGCTTTGGAAAAAAACTTTCTATGTAAACTACGACAAGTATACATTATTGCTTCAAACAGAGAAATCTAAAACACGATTTTAAAAGAATAATTGTTACTTCATAGTTTTAAACACAATTTTTTTTTTATCTTTTTGGAATAGTATTTCACTGTTAACAACCTTTTTTACATATTCGTTATTTATCATTTGAATGCATATAAAAAAGACTTTTTTTAAGGAGATTTTTAATCAATTAATATTAAATGATCTTGCCATAAAACTCAATCGAATTCATTTTAAACTCGTGATCACTATCATTATTATTAAACCAGTTTGGTCCTGTTTGCTGAAGTCTGATATATTTCAATGGCACATTTTTGTATTGGCTGCTTGAAATATGGAACAAATGGGCACGGCTCGCTCCTTTAAGTTTGTCGTTGTTCGTTTGCGAATCAAGCGGAATCCAATCTTTGTTATCCGTTGAACCTTCAACTTTCCACGTCTTTGGATGACAATTATTTTCATCACTGCGAGACCTGATGATGTAATCTGTTGGGATCACTTGATGATTTCTGAATTCAAAGCAAAACCACGAATTTGGCACATTTTTTGTGCAGAAGAAGTTATCTTTGTTTTCATATTGAAGAAGAACGAATGGATCTTCGCCAAGTGATGATGAATAAGTGATGCTGAGTTCATCCTTGATGTTTCCGTGCGTTTGCAGATAGTTGAAAATACCATCAAATTCATCATTTTTTGGTAGAATTTCTACCAGGAAGCGAGGGGACAGATACTCGTGCCTGCCTTCAACCGATTCGTCTTTTACGATTTCTTGTCCAAGACGAACAGCGATCGACGACCACGTTCTACTGTCCAGATCGTTGAAATCAAATTTTTCAATGAATCCTTTCATGCATGAGGCACTGACATTGATGAACTCTACGTACTCATACAAAATTGAATACTTCACATCACTTTTGTAGAGTTCGTTGACAACTTCAACAAGCTCGTCTTCTGTCTCGAGCACTAGCTTTGGATCTCTAATCACTTCTTCAATAATACTGAAATCTATGTCGAAATCGCCTTCTTTGATTTTTCTCAAAAGGTCTTCTTGAAGGTCATGGAAATGTGATATGAAAAATGAGACATCATCTTTGAGTTTTCTTGAATAGAATTTCGGATGCTCTTGGTGCTTCTTAAGAAGAGAAAAAAAATTGTCAAGACTGATTTCTTCATTTTCACTCTTGATGTCGATTAAAATTTTGTTGATTTCTAGGGTTTCGATAATTTCTGTAATATAGGGAAGATCTTCTTCTGAAAATTGCTGTTTTTCGAAGTTTATGAGCTTGATTATTTTGTTGAAATCACCTTGAGTTTCTGTATTGAGTGAAAATTTATTGATTGTGGGATCACTTAAATGAATTTTGGATATTTGTGCTGATAATAGTTCAGCTGCGAATGTGCTCGTTTCAAACCTTTCTGAATTGACGATAAACGTGAAATCCTTCTGATAGTTCTGGAGTGGAACTTGTAAAATAGAATCAGTCTGCAACTTTATGCTATTTGCCATATCAAAATATAATGTTCGTGATATGTGATATGAAAAACAAATTTGAATTTTCAATTAATTTTATTGAAAAACTTCTAAACATATGCTTTTACTATTATTAAAAAGCATTTTAAATAATTAATTAACTTTCAATAAGGCAAAAATCAATGATTCTCTTTTTAAAAAGAGAAATCAACAAATAATTTAATCAAAAATAATAATACTTTTTTAAAAGAAGATTAATAAGAGTTTTCAATTGTCTAATAATGATCATGCAACCTTTGAAGTTAACTTTCTTCTAATTTTTTTTTAATAAGGCAAAAAAAGAGTGATGGATGGACTCGAACCATCAACACTGAGGGTATGAGCCTCAGGAACTACCTCTTGTTCCACATCACTAGCTGTTATCTCTATATATTAACATATTATAGATCATATATTCTTTTTTTCTAATTTAAAAGACTTGAACTTCATTCAAAATTGATCTGTTTATTGTATAGGTATTCTTTAATTTTATTATTAGTATACAGTTTTTTCTTTATATGGATAAGTCTTTCTGAATCAATATGCTTTGATATTAAAAAACTATTAGAAAACGTAATTTGTTTCTATTTTTGATATTGTATAATGGTTTTTATTTTGGTATTGATATATACATTTTAGCATTATGAGATAATTTCTCATTGATTCATGAGAGAGAACTTTTTGAGAAATTCGATCCAAATTTAAAAGATTTTTTGTCAAATTTTATTTTGAGAACTTTATCTTTATAATTGAATACTCAATTCAATTTTTTTATCAAAATTGATATGAGAACCATTTTCACTGAATTTAAATCCCATTAGCCTTTTTTGATTTCAACTTTTCCATCTCTATCAATCGTTTCTCCAAATAAGGATTTAAATCCTTTACTGTCAATTCAGTAAAATACAAGGATTTATCATTAATAAGAACGAATTTCTTTCTGATTTACCTATGAAAGAAGTTTCCTTTTTTGGAGAAACGATTGATAGAGATGGAAAAGTTGAAATCAAAAACGAAGATTTCTACCAAAATAATCAATATTTTAGTTTAGAGAAAAATTTTGTTATTCATGATTGCTTATTTCATGATATTAATTTTGATGAAGCCCATGATGGTAAAAGCCCCATTCAATTCGAAGGAAGCCTCCCTTTTTACATGACAAACTGTATTATTAGAGAGATCAAAGGAAGAAAATCAGCAATACATTTAACAATGAAAGCGGCAACCATTGATCACATTTGCATGTACAATTGTGAATCAGAAACAGAACAAAAATATCTGCACATTGACATAACAAAAGAATCATTTTGAAAATTATTTTTTCAACTTTTGCTGAAGATAATGGACAAATGAAAGGAAGTGGTGCCATTGAATTCAAAATTGTGTCAATTTCTCAAAGATTCAATCAAAAGATTATTCAATCAAAATTACAGATCCAAAAATCATTTTGATTTCACTCATGGCGAAGATACATATACACTTATTCACTATACTGATATTAAAACTCCATCAAGATCTCCTACAAAGAAATACTCCGAGTCTTCAGCTTTTACTTTTTCTGCATATTTTTCATTTTCCAAATGCTTTTCTGAATCAGATGATTTCTCAATATCATTTTCCAAATACTTTTCAAAAACTGAAGATTTCTCTGAAACAAAAAAGTTCTCAAAAACAGAAATATTTTCTGAAACAGAAGACTTCACTTTTTCATTTGATTTCACTAGATCAAAAAGTTTCACTCAATCAGATGATTTAGATCGTACCCGTGCTTTCACAAAATCAAATTACTTTAGTGAATCTAACGACTTTTCCCAATCTGATGACTTCACTAAAACTAACGGTTTTAGTAAATCTGATGACTTCACTAAAACCAACGGTTTTAGTAAATCTGATGACTTCACTAAAACTAACGGTTTTAGTAAATCTGATGACTTCACTAAAACTAACGGTTTTAGTAAATCTGATGACTTCACTAAAACTAACGGTTTTAGTAAATCTGATGACTTCACTTTTTCAAAATATTTTAATGAATCAAAAGAACTGAAAACAAGAATTATTATCTTCACTCCTCCCAATATATTCACTAAATCTGATTGCATCCCTCCAGCGGGCGGTGTTGACAAGCACGGCAGTGGTGGGAAGCTGTGTCCTGGAGCATTGGCAGGAATCATTGTTGGTGCAATTGCAGCAGCTGCAATTGTAATCATTCTTGCTATTTTCTTTATCATTAAGAGGAAGAAAAGCATGGATTTGCCAACTGACGCTAACATCATTGATGGACAAGAATCTACGATATAAGTGGAAAATACTCTTCAAAGTATTATGGATAAGGATGATCCATTTGCTGATGAATTTAACGAATAAAATAATCATATTCACTTGATTATTGTCTATAAAAGTATTCCAATAAATTTTATATTTATCTAAAATGAAAAAAGTTGTTGTAAAGATCATTAGACTATCCTATTTGTTTTTTCTAAGAAGTTTAATCAATATAAGCTAAAATTATCCTTTAAAGTAACGATTTTAAAAGTGAAAAAAAAAAAAAAAAAATCTGAGCTAGAGAAAAAAGACAACTCCATTTGAAAAAAGTCAAATAACAATTAAATTTAAACTTTTTCCATTTTCCATATGAACAATCATGTGTTAAACAAATCAAATTTCTGAGAGTTGGTTGAGTTTTTTCTTTAGAAATTTGATTAGAAATCCACTTCTAAGCATTCAATTTCTTTCTATAGAAATATGTATCGAGTTTTTTGTTTTCCATATATATTGATCAAATATCATTATTATGAAATTTAATTATAAAATAATATAATATATATATATTAATAATGCAAAAAATAATAATAACTAAAAAATATATAAAAAATTTCAATATAAAAATATTTTTATTTTTTCTTATTTTGATAACAAATAAAAAATTTTTTTGAGTTCACATAATTTATATGATTTGTTCAAGAAAATTAACTCCTTTTGAAAAATTTTTCCTTTCCTCAAATGAATACGTCCTTTTTTCACTTGAGACTGAAAATTCTTCAACTATTCCATCAATTGTTGACAAACTTAAAAAAATGATTCTTGGATTAAATTATAGAATTCAAGATGACAATTTAATATATAGCCCAGGTGAAATTAATACTCATTCTCTCCCAAATTCCATTAAAACATGTCCTGATTCAAGCGCATATGTTGATCATCATGTATTGAATGATTATTCTAAGGGACTTGCATCGATAGCAGTAAATGACAAAATTATCACTGTAACTGCAGCTCATATGCTTTATGATGGTGGATTTTTTGTTGATCTTTATAATCATCTTTTTGATAATTCAGATGAATCATATTTTCAATCAGATCCAAATCGATTTATTACATACACATTCCAAGAAATGTTTACTAAAGAATTAGAAAGAAAAGATTTAAAACATTTACATGAGCAACATTTATTAAATACAAAATCATTACAATCAATTCAATTTAGTCAAAAAATAGATCCCAATGTTCATGGTAATCCAAGATGTATATCACATATACTCAACATTCCAGCAGAAGATTTTCATTTTACAAAAAGTAAAGCTAATTTAAGCGATATGTATTGGACAATGCTTCCATTAACATGCATGGCGTTCAACAATTCTGGAATTGATGATTTTGGTGTTTTAACGTGCGTAGATATGAGAAAATTTTTATCATCGAAATTTGCAAATAAACTTGTTGGCCAGAATTTCATTGAATTATATCTTTCAATTGGACAAATTGAGCCAAATATGACGGTTCGTCAAGTTGGTAAAAGATTCCGTGAAAGGTTCAATCAAATGAGAAATGATGGAACTTTTATTGGCGCTTTATATGGCGCAGATCATGGATTTCCTGCAAAAAAGAACCATCTTTATGTTGAAATATCAAACATTGGACGATTTGATCATAAAAAAGGAATTTCTGATGTTTTCATTCAACAATCATCTACGAGCAAAGAATATGAATGGCTTGCTGGATTCTCTTCGTTTTCAAGAAGTTTGCATGGAAAAAATACAATAACTATTCGACTTGAAAGACCTCAAACAGCTCTTAATCATATTGATGGTGAAATAATGATTAAATCATTGGCCCATTGTATGACTGAAATACCACCCGATGTATCAATTATAAAGGCTTATGATGAACTACGTGCTTTTCAAAATAAAATTAAAATGCATTAATATTAGTAAATTATAATTTTAATTTTTTTTTTTTTTCTTTTATGTTTGATATCAAATTACTAAGACATTCAATAAACTGAAAATAAAATTTGCTCACTTTTTAAATTCCATTTGAAAAAAATCAAAGGGTTTGCTAAATTATGTAAAAATTTTCGATGTAATCCAATCTATCAGTAACGAAACATAATTATTCAGTCTGAAAGTGAAAAAAATGTCTTATTGGTTTTTTTTCAAAACTAAAACAAAGGTTGTTCAACTTGTAAACAAAGGATAGTCAATTTGTCTCTCAAAGATGAGCATTTTTCAAAAAAGATAAAAATTTATAAAGTGCATATATTTATTTTTAGAGCTTACCCATTATTGAATAATGAGATCAATTCTAATTGCACTGGTAAGACTGATTTATCAGTAAGAATGTTAACAAAAATATGGTTATAATTAAATTAATAATAATATGGTTACATTTTAATTAATAATAATATGGTTATTATAAATTCACAATATTATGGTTATATATATTTATAAATTTTATTAACATCATTCTAAATTTTTATCCCTTTGAGATTGAAAAATCAATTGTGATTAAATCGAATATTTAGACTGATAGTCAGTTTTCTCGAGCTATTTTAGAACAATGAATGATGAAGCAAAAAAAAAAAAAAAATAACCATCTTGCTATTGCGTTTCATATCTTTGATGATTTAGTGAATTTGGTTTTGAATTAAAGACATAGAAAAGTTTTGATACCATTTCATTATAAGATAAAGATTAAAGATAATAGATTATAATAATCAAATGATTTTATTTTATTATTTCACGGCAATATATAAATAGCAGTGTGCTTTTCCATCTTTCGTATATTCAGATGGAACAGTACTTTCGTAATCTTGAGTAAAAGCTCTTTTGATTTCTCCTTTTGATTTCATTTCCCATACTTTAGACCATGCCTTTTTCGCACATTCTGAAATATCTGATCCCGATTCATCAATTTTAATATATTCTCCCTGACCGATTTTTTTTTCAAGTTCAATAAAAAATCTAGTTTCAACACACATGATTGTTAAATCATATTTGCCTTTTTCATCACTTTCATACTCTGAATAACATGAAATAGGAGATAATCCTTTGACTGGTGATCCTTTTTTTAAAAAATCAAGAGGGATTTTACCACTA